TATGACAGATGTGAAACGGAGTAGAACCTAATTACAAAAAAGTATACTAATTTTTAGATATGGCGGCCATTTAGGGAAGAGATCTATTCTCGAAGTATGAAGTATGATGGATCTCTGTGAGCAGAATGATGTTCACAGTGCTTCAGATAGTTACTTGAGAGAAGAATAAAGGGATTTAGCGAAAGCCTTGTAGACATGATTAACCAGCTTTATACAAAGATATTGATCTGAATCAAGTGTGTTTAAATTGCAATTACTTAATAAGCTGTTACAAAAACACTTTCAATATTTTTCGTGTGGAATGGATAAATGTTGTTTTTTTTTATAACATAAAAAAGGAATACAACCAAATTGTATTTTATTGAATTTGGCTTGAAATCTGACTCATTTTATTTTGTTAACTAATGTAGTTACAACTAATAGTAAACATAACTGGATAAAATAAAACAGGTTTTCATAACTCATATTGACATGTTACAGAAGAGAAAAAAACTGACATCCTTGTAAAATCATTTTTAATTATTTAAAAAGCTCTTAGATAAGTTTATTAGGTTTCAGATAAGTGTAAACTTGGTTGTTTTTTAGAGGAAAATGTACACAAATTTAATTAAACAATGATTCCTGATAATGTATTTAATTTTTTTAAGGTTTCTGAGCAACCTTATGATTTTTTTTTTTTTTGTTCTTTTATTCAAAGGATCCATTTGTTACTATGTGTCCAATACCTGGAGATATATAAGTTTCTAGAATAGACAATTACTTGTTCCAAAGTGTCATCAACTGCTTGTGGAATGCATGGTGTTACCACATAATTTGCATTGTTCCAGTCCAAGATTACAAATGATGGCAGCAACTTGAGTAAATTCAGCTTTATTTCAATCCATTTGGTCGTAGATTATTGGCTTTTGTTGGAAAACATTGTACATTGAACAATCATTAGTTCTCTGAACTTTGCTGCCTGGGCAAAATTCTACCTGGCATCATTGCACACATAATCATAGTAAAAAAAAGTACCATATATTTGTCCATCTTCAATAGAAGGCTTGATCTCGACTTAACTATGTACATCTTATCAAGGCCTTCACGTAATACCCCGCATATTTCAGCACTAATTTCGATTGGGTATAAGCCCAGCTTGTGATCCTATCAGATTCCTTCGTTAAAAATATGGTTACGATTATCAAGTCTCGCGCTTCTAGCTAAAATGTCTACATGTGACAATTGAGTTGCAAAGTTCAAGGTTCGATCAATGTCAAGGTTGCTGGAAATCATGATTAATCAACAAAGGCTGTAAACTTGTCTATTTCTTTTTCTATGGAGGCCGCCATATTTGTTTACAGTGTGTTATGTGCCACCACCTCTGATTGGACAATGCTAATTAGTCACGTGTAAACACAAACAAGCGGAAAAATTTGGGAATTGTTGAGTACTAAAGCAACGACTAGATGTTGTAAAACTCGCGGTCGTTGCTTCAGGAACATGATGTTTGTCTCAAAATGACTGAAATATACGGTTCCTTTATTGTCTGTTATTTGCTTAGCAGCATTCCTGCACTGTCTAATGGGGTGTTGGATGGCTGAATGGTTCGCGTGTGCGCGCTGTACAAAAAAAAGTCTGTAATTGAGTCAACTGGCGTGGTTACGAATTCCCCGGTTGTATGTGACAAGGAGTAGGATCACTTGTCCAATCTTGTGTGTTTTCTCCGGGTCCTCAGGTTTACCCCCACTAATAAAAACCACTACGCGCAAGTGAATTATTGAAGTAAAAAGTAAAATTGAACCATGTTAATCCCAAAATGACCTAGTTTGTGTCCAGTGGACGTAAAACTCTCTCTCTCTCTCTCTCTCTCTCTCTCTCATAAAACCTACAACTTTAACTAATGACATGTAGAACTTGGAACAAATGAATGCCGATTCATAGTTTACATCTGAAAGGATGAATAACTGATGTAATTACGTTTGTTGGCACTTGAAATCTGGAAATCTACAGAGATTACAAAACCGCATAAAAAATACTGGAAATCAGGCGAGGTAATCATGCAAATAAATTTGATTTCTCAAGCGACATGAATTGACTGGTTAACTTAAATTTCTGAACTGCTCAATTGCTGTATCAGTGGGAGAGAAATCAATATTGATTGGTTGAATTTAGTTCGTAGTCAGGAATGACGGAAATAACCATTGTCCATTGAATCAATTAAGTTTGGAACCAGGCACCTTTTTATACCCCATTTTATTATAAAACCATAATATTTGCTTGAGTGGATAGCAAGTCGTTATTCTGGCCTGTTAATGACAAACACGCAAAGAAATAGTCAGGTTATGATGTTGAATGCAAAGGATAATGGATCTCGATATTTTATAGTAAAACGGCAAGTTTTGGGGAGGTAATAGCAATATTTCCGGGCGTTCCTCTATTGATCTTAAGTTTAGTTAAGTGGGTTTACATGCTGCCAAATCACTAGAATATGATTTAAGAGTTGCTCTTCTTTTATTCGTGTTTCCAAAATGTCAATTTTTTCAAATTTGCAATCATCTAATATCAGCTCTGTCGGATATCTTTTACAGGAAATTCGATAAAGGGGATATATTTGGAGTGCGGCATTAAATTAACTGTATTATCGTCCCAGACACACTCAAAAATACTTGTGAATGTAGATTGAAACTAGTTTTCAGCCACTACAAATGTAATCAGGCTCGGTGTGAGAATTTGTTTATTACACAATATTTGAAAGTTTACGAGATACATCTGATGTATTCATCGCCTACATCAAAAAATAATGTTATACTTAGGTTAGAAATCTAAATGGATTAAATTCTGTTTTACCTCGATATGTAACAGTGGGTAGATGATATTTTTTTATATACAACTTGTGCGTTAAATTATTTCAATATGTCTGTACATTAAAAATTTGATGTCCTTTGATAAAACAAATGAAGAGATAACTGAGTTTCTGTTTAACAGTCAATAGTAGAGCTGGGTAATATCCCTGGAAACGGGGGGGGGGAGAGAGAGAGAGAGAGAGAGAGAGAGAGAGAGCATTTTATTTCAATAATTCGCTTGGGTGTAGGGGTCTTTAGCAGTGGGAGGAAACTGGAGGACAAGGAGAGAACCCACGGGGTTGGACAGGTGATCATACTCCTTATCACGTACAACTGGGGAAACGAAACCCTGCCAGTTTTGGGGTTTGACGTCCACTTGACACAAACTAGGTCATTTCAGGACCAACATATGGTTCAATTTTGTTTCAAAAGTCTATAGCAGTGGGAGGAAACCAGAGGACCTGGAGAAAACCCATGAGGTTGGACAGGCGACCCTACTCTCTTATCACGTACAAACAGGGAATCAAAACCACGCCATTTGACTCAATGACAGACCTTATAATACAATCAGTATTGCTAACCAATCAGTCATCTAACCCCCCCTTTATGTTGGGATAACTGACTTTCTGTTTAACAGTCAATAGTTTACCTAAAGAAAATAAATTAAAACAGGCCTACGTCCACTTTATCAACACTAACTAAAATTGTCATTATTGTAACACCCTTCATAATAACACATCGATCGAAAACAACACTTGGTTATTAAGGGCAAGTATATGTAGCGTTAAAAATAAAATCTGTGCACGGAATCGGTAGTTCCTCCATCAAACATCAAACAGAATTTATTATGAATTAATACAATGACATTGTGATTCAATTTCATTAATGCAAAGCGGTAATTGTGATATCACACCTGTCTATATCATTATCTCGCACTTTGAATGCCCATCCCACCCCATCATCTGATGATAAAGGATAAAGCACACAACCGTGACACTTTTCTCATAAAAAGTGATGTTTTACAATCTTTTTATGTAGCTGAGCGGGTGGGGATTTGGTCTCCCAAAGCCTCCCCCCCCCAACACAGATCTGCCCCTGACAAGTAAAGCAAACTTCTGTGTTTTATTTTTTCTGAGTAAAATACAACTTCTGCGTTCATGTAAAACCAACTTCTGTGTTCATGTAAAACCAACTTCTGTGTTCAAATAAAACCAACTTCTGTGTTGTGTTCAAGTAAAACCAATTTCTGTGTTCAAGTAAAACCAATTTCTGTGTTCAAGTAAAACCAATTTCTGTGTTCATGTAAAATCAACTTTTGTGTTCAAATAAAACCATCTTCTGTGTTCTGTGTTCATGTAAAACCAATTTCTGTGTTCATGTAAAACCAACTTTTGTGTTCATGTCAAACCAACTTCTGTGTTCATGTAAAACCAACTTCTGTGTTCATGTAAAACCAACTTCTGTGTTCATGTAAAACCAATTTCTGTGTTCAAGTAAAACCAACTTTTGTGTTCAAGTAAAACCAACTTCTGTGTTCATGTAAAACCAACTTCCGTGTTCATGTAAAACCAACTTCTGTGTTCATGTAAAACCAATTTCTGTGTTCAAGTAAAACAAACTTTTGTGTTCAAGTAAAACCAACTTCTGTGTTCATGTAAATCTAACATTTGTTTTTTGTCTATTACAAGTAAAACCAACTTCTGAGCTTTATTTCATACAAGAAAAGCATACTTCTGTGCTGTTTTTATATGAAAAGAAAAAGCTCATCATTTCAATTTACGTGAATCCGCATTCGGATATTTTTTCCCTTTTAGATCAAGGAATTTCGTCTTATAATCAACCAGAAAAGATCCCCTTTCAGGATGTTTGATGCTAACGTGAATGAATGACGATTTGTCAGTAATGGATGCATTTGGTGCAAACTTTATACATCTCATTTGATCCGAGATTAGTAATTGAGGCTTCTATCTGGGATATGATTTGGCAGCAGTGAATTTAAATTAATACCTTCTGCAGCAATGAGTTTTAATATCAGATTCAAAAAAACAGAATGGTTTACAATAACGCTTTCATATAATCCCCATTTGATGCATTGCCATTAATTTTGGCAGAGTTTTACTTGTTTGTAATTTCACCTAAATCATACCAGCTTTTAACAATAAAAAAACTCAAACATACCTTTCTCACAGCAAACATGGCGTAGGAATATTAATAAGCAGACGGCTAAAAGAAGTAAACCCATAAATACCACGCTTCTCGATGTCGAGGTAACCAGATTGATGTGTCCCTGAAATGCCAAACAAAGAAGTTTAAAACAAATTAATTTTTAGTGTAGCAATTTCTATATTATACATGTACATTGTATGCCATTCAGAAGGCTACCCATAAGCTTTCTTAAAACTGCTGCCTTTTTATGTCAAAGCGCGTAATATATATAACAATAGGCAGTAGTGCTGCTGTTCATGCAAAATTTACTGCATAGCACACTATATGGCACATGCTTGTCGTCATTATCCCAGTCGGAGCAGAACAGTAGACTGTTAAACCCCATTTCAATTTTTTACTTTGTGATAAATAATTTGGATTGAAGTCATACTGACTATACCTAAATGAATGACACTGTATGGGCAAACCTTCCCTCGTAGCACACTGTATGGCGTATGCCCGTCTTTATTAGCCCAGTCAGAATAGAACAGTAGGACGTTAAACCCCATTTCATTTTTTTACTTTGTGATACTGACTACACCTAAAATGACACTGGGACTATTCTTTATGATACTCATTACACCATGAAAATATTTAGTTGTATATTATACGGGAGGTTTGGCTGGCCGAATGGTTAGCATGTGTGCACTGTATCATAAGGTCTGTCATTGAGTCAACTGGTGTGGTTTTGATTCCACGGTTGTACGTGACAAAGAGTAGGGTTGCCTGTCCAGTCTCATGGGTTTTCTCCGGGTCTTCCGATTTCCTAGTTTGTGTCAAGTGGACGTTAAACCCCATTTCTCTCTCTTTCTCTATCACTACATACCCAGTACTCAATCAAAACAAAATGCCTTTCGAGCCAGACCAAATATGGGTCATTTGGAATTATAGAAGTTTAAAATGGAATTAACGGACACATCCAATTATTTCAGCTCATCTGTGCAAGGGGCATAAACAGGAGAAATGTTACGATACAAATAATTAAACTTTTCAAGACCAATCCCGATAAGTGACAAAAATATGTCATTTTAAAAGTCTTTGAATCAAAATAGATTCACGCTTTAAAAATTTTTGCAATGGATGGCTCAAGGATAAGATTAAGTCTCAAAGGATCCTTAACTAAGATAAAAATCCAAATTTTAGTAATTTGATTGGATAATATTAGATTGATTTTAGTGTTAGCCAATCAAAATTGAAGTATCTACTAAAATTTGGATTTTATCTTTAGTTAAAATTTTGTGAAACAGGGTCCAGACCCCTCTTTTTTTACACTATATTTTGATAAAACAATTTAAACTAGATTTATTCAGATACTTGTTCTACATTATTTGAAGGGATGATGTCTGTCATACAATCATATCAAATCAGGTTTCCTGTTTATTTTCTAATTAACACGACAAGACAAAAGGTCAGTTTTTAAAACCTGTAATTAATCCATTTTCTGTCACAACCATCATGACCAGGACATTAACCCTTTAGCATCTAGAGCACCCCAAACTGATCTCACTTGGGCTCCTTTGATCGCTCCAAAACCGACTTGTCATGTACACAGCTGTATGCTGGGACTGCAAGGACTAGTAAATAGTCTTTTAATAAGAGAGAGAGAGAGAAAGAGACAAAGATAGTTTAACTCCACTGGGCACAAACTAGAGAGAGAGAGAGAGAGAGAGAGAGGAGTTTAACTCCACTGGACACAAACTAGAGAGAGAAAGAGAGAGAGAGGGAGAGAGAGGAGTTTAACATATGGTTCAATTTTATTTCAATTATTCGCTTGGGCGTAGGGGTCTTTAACACTGGGAGGAAACCGGAGGACCCGGAGAAAACCCACGTGGTTGGACAGGTGATCCTTATCACGTACAGCTGGGGAATCGAAGCCACACCGGTTGACTCAATGACAAACTCGATGATATAACGCACACACGCTAACCATTTAGCCATCCAGGACCCCTCCTATAATATGGAGAGCTATTCACATATCTTGGACTGTCCAGGGATGGACCGTTATTAATATATCTCTAATTATCTTCAAGGAACTAGGGCAGTCAATATTAACATATATTTAAAGGGTTAACAATCCATATAAAAGGGACAGACTTACAATGTGTATTTGAACATTTTGATATGATGAAAGGGAGATAACTTCATATTTCAGTAATTCCACTTGCGGTTGATGATACAAGGAATGTGCTTCGACAATAATACTGTTTGATTTGTGATTCGGATAAAAATACACAGGAATCTGAAAATAGATATAACAATATTAATAGATTTAAACTTATGTCAATATATGACTGAAATTAGATATCAAAAATATTAATACACCCAAATCTAAGTCAACAAAACACTGAAAATAGATAAAACATTAATGGAAATATTTACACAAACAATCATGTTAGAGAAAAATGTTCTTTACTTTTTTACTTTGAAAGTTATTTTTTAAATTTTATCCTGTAACAACAATGGCCGTCATGCATTGTTGATGTTCAAACAATCGAATATTGTACAGAGATTGATTTTTTTGTGTGTGATATAAATCAAAAATATAATTCACCATTGTTAAAATAGATTGTCCACAATACTACAAAGAGCGATATAGTCGATGATTGTCAAAGTTTGTAACATTTTATAAATGCACAAAAAATAGTCTTCCACATTAAAATCATGTTAAGTAGGCCAATGTTCAATTGTCATGTGACCAAATGAAATAAATTGAATGCTACGACTCGGCTAATGAAGACGGGCATATGCCATACATTGTGCTATGAGGGAAATTTTGCCCAGGTTTCTGTTCCATCCCAACGACTAGACATGGTTCTTTACCAGGTCCTGATAAGGGGGAACTCCGCCAGAAAATTCTGATGTACTTCCTTGGCCTACATTGGGACCAAGCAAAGGACCTCCAGGTTTGCGAGCCAACTTCTTACTCACCGCTGCCATCAACATTGAAAGTCACAGTATATGCACTGTAAACAGTGATGGAGCTCGGATTTTAACAGTAGGAGGAGTGAGTCCTTATTGAGAGAGAGAGAGAGAAATGGAGTTTAACGTTCACTCTACACAAAATAGTTAATTTCGGGACTAACATATGGTTTAATTTTATTTCAATAATTCACTTGCGCGTAGGGGTCTTTAGCAGTGGGAGGATCCATGAGGTTGGACACTTGACCCTACTCCTTGTCAGGTACACCCGGGGATTCGAAACCACGCCAGTTGACTCAATCACAGACCTTATGATACGATGCACACATGCTAACCAATCGGCCACCCAACCCCTGAATCCTTATTGGGGTATCTCGTGGATAAGTAACACAGTGTACAGATATAATTAAAACAATGAGATTTTATGGTTTTTCATGGTAAATATTAAAATAAAAACCAACATACTTTTAGCACATGTCAGTTATTTTTTAGATTTTTTGAACGATTATAGCATTGTTTATACTTTATTTTTAACGCTGTCATTGATAGCGAAAGAGAAAGAGAAATCGGGTTTAACATCGACTTGACACAAACTAGGTCATTTCTGGACTAACATATGGTTCAATTTTATTTCATTAATTCGCTTGTGTGTAGGGGTCTGGAGGACCCGAAGAACACCCATGAGGTTGTACAGGCAACTCTACTTCTTGTCACGTACAACCGGGGATTCATCACTGATAGCACGAAAAATAGAACAATTTTTATAGAAACATGCAAGTTTTCTAACAGGTTTTACTCTCTAGACCGCAAAGATGCTTCAACTGATAGCAAGGAATTGCATATAATCATTTTTAATTTCATCTGCGTCTGCATATACTGACAAAATTTGATATGATATAATCCCCACATTTCTACTTCGCATAACTCGTCATTGATACCAACGAAAATAATGTCCATGTTTAAATTGCTACATGTATCTTCTTTAAACTCGGGTATGTCTATTCAAAAGGGCTTTGTCAACCTGAAAAGAACTTTAAATTAAGGATCTCTCAAATTTCTTTGAATTTTAATAACAAAGGTTGTCAGACCGAAACCTTTTCTCAGACAGTGGAGCTGTCTTTTTCCAGCCCTACGCGTTGTCGTTAAAATGTTAAACTAATAAATAGTTAAAGCAGTCACCACGTTAAAGACATGATCTGACAAAACCCTAACAATAAACCTTTACATCTCACATACACCTGATATTGTGTAACCAAATCCCTCACCATTATAATATAATACAACATGTATCTTATATATAAACCAGATTAGGCTAATGAGAGAGAAAGAGACAGACAGACAGACAGAGAGAGAGAGAGAGACAGACAGAGACAGAGAGAGGGGGAGTAACATCCACCCACACAAACTAGGTCACTTCAAGACTAACATATGGTTCAATTTTTATTTCAATAATTCGCTCATGCGTAGGGGTCTTTAGCAGTGGGAGGAATCATGAGGACCTGGAAAAAATCCAAGAGATTGGACAGGCGACCCTTCTCCTGTATCCAATATGTGTGTTTGTTGTCTGCATATTGTGTCTTGGAGCCACGGTGGTTACGTGGGTAAGATGTTGACTCGTTAGCCTGGAGGTCGAGTGTTCGATCCCTGCATTGGCCGAGAAAATTCATCAGGATTTTCCGACGTGGTTTCCCCTTGTCAGTGGTGCAGGCAGGATGGCCTGACAAAGCCAATTGTGTAGTCATTCAGATGGGATGAACAACTGAGGTCCCGTGTATACATTGGCATGCACGTAAAAGACCCCTTTGCAAATGGAAAGCCTCCAATTTCAGTCTGTCATTCGTCGGTCCCTACGAGTGCCGCCATATTATTGTTTAACATAGATATGGTGGGTATTGTCTAATCCATTCAATATCTAATTCACCTAATAATCTAAAGAGTTGATTATCAACTTGTCATGTGAATATATGTCTAAATAATAACTTATATAACATACAAAGATTTAAATCTTGCATAATACCTTTTTAATTGTATCAATTTTGAGTTTCCTGAATAATTGTCTCCAAAAATTACCTTATTTTTAATTCCCCAAATTTAAAAAACCCAAATCTTAACATAAATGTATTAAATTTGCTGTTTTTGCTTGCTAAGGACTTTGTGTCTTTAATTTTGAATTGCTTTAATTTTAAACTCAATATTATTTTGTATACATAAAGACCTCAGGGAATTTCTAAGATAAATGTACATGTCATAATTTAAAGGTCTTTGAATACAAAATGTATAGTTGTGTGATTTTTTCACCCATCCAAACACCTTGGATTTTTTTTTCAAAGCCCTGAGGATTCAAAATTGACAATTTAAAATATTTCATGAACTCTATATTCAAATTAAATAAAGATATTAGTCTCCCACACACATGTATACACTATGCGAAGTAGTGGTTAGTGCGTGTGTGTTGTATCATAACATCTGTCATTGAGTCAACTGGCGGGGTTTCGATTTCCCGGTTGTACTTGACAAGGTGTAGGGTTGCCAGTCCAACCTCTTGAGTTTACTCCGGGTCCTCCAGTTTCCTCCCTGTACTAAAAGACTCCTACGCGCAAGCGAATTATTGAAATAAGATTGAATCATATATTAGTCCCAAAATGACCTAGTTCGTGTTGAGTAGACCTTAAACCCCATCTTTTTCTCTCTCTCCAATGAGAAGTGGTATCAGATGTTCCATAAAGTAAGCCCTACCTTGTTTCATACATGGCATCAGTCATTCACTAAATCAACCTAATATCTAAAAACAAACCATGTCTACACTAGGCCAAATAAAGTTCATGAATGGAAAGTAAATTTGAGTGGAAGCATGAATGAAAAAGCTGTGCCACCTGTTAAAGGCTAATACACACACCCTTTCACGACCGGTGATGGCTATTTTACATCAATCATGAATGTATAAAACGTTGATTAAGAAAGCTCTTAACATGAACATGTTAACAGAATGTGTGATACATATAAAGAACATAATATTCTAGCAAAATATGGTCAGGAGATTGAGCCATTCGATGCATGAATGCCTGACATTGAAAGTTTATCATGCATAACAGATAGCCTCAACAATACATTCAACTTATTTGTGTTTCCATTCAAGAGAGAGAAAGAGAGAAATGGGGTTTAACCTCCACTCGACACAAACTATGTCATTTCAGGATTAACATATGGTTCCAATTAATTTCAATAATTCGCTTGCCCGTAGGGGTCTTTAGAAGTGGGAGGAAACTGGAGGACCAGGAGAAAACCCATGAGGTTGGACAGGTGACCCTACTCCTTGTCACACACAACTACATCAGTTGACTCAATAACAGACCTTATGATATTATCAGAACACGCCAACCAATACGGCCATCCAACCCCCACCCCACTGTTTCCATTCCAACTAAAACCATACCCCATACCTCACATACCCCAGCACCTGAGCAAAGAATAAGATTGGATGGTGTACAATGTTATTTATTAATGACTAATCAAGTGAAATATGATTTATCAATGAATATAAATATTTAACAAACAATACTAGACTACATGTACATGTATAAACACTAATGATACAAAATTAAAATCATATTTCAGTCTTAAAAAGGTGAGTTGGGCTTAAAAAATAATGAATAAATGGCCAGACATATCACAATATTACAACAATACTACATGTATTAACACTAATAATACAACATTAAAATCATATTTCAGTCTTAAAAATGTGAGTTGGGCTTAAAAAATAATGAATAAATGGCCAAACATATCCAGGCCCGGCAGAGTGAGGGGGCTAGGGGGGGGCTTTAGCACCCCCAATAATTTGGCCGCAAGTACTCTTTTCTCCAGGTTATTGCGGCCCCTGGACCCTTGCCTATAAGGACCTAGGATGGAAGCCCCCCCCCCCCCCAAATCAAGAATTGTTTCCACCGGCCCTGATTGCCCCTGATATGACAATATTTTGTCTACCTGGAATTTTAGTATTGTAATCTTTAATTCATTTCTATTGTATATTTAGCGGGGTATAGACAGGTGTATTGTCATTTATTTATCTCATGTTACCTGAGATGGATCTCATATGACACCGATGAAGCTTACATTTCAGGGCTCCTAATCCCAGAGAGGCCTCACAAGCGATTTTAGTCCACTTATAAATTTTATATCTGCTACATTAACGATGTTTAAAGGTGAAGAGCTACTGTAGCAAGGTGTCCTGGTGGTATCTCATGTAGAATCAGGACTTAATTTTTCAAACTTCAGAGGGGCTGTAACTAGCTCAGAGCAACGAGGGGGGAGGGAAGTGTT